CGAAAGGAAAATCGAAACGAACGTCCGAAAAAAAAAGTAGAAGCTAGAAAAGGGAAGGAAACGTAACCAAAAAAAAAAAAAAAAAAACCAAACGAAATAAGTTTCAACAACAACAAGCAGAACAAACCTTTATCTTTTTTACTCTCTTTTTCTCTATTTCTTGGTGGTCTTGTCTGTGTATACAGAACGCGATCCGCACCAATCTATCATTGCACAAGTGTTTTGTGCGCTATGAGGACGACTTCGGGTCATTCTGGATGGTGGACGACGCCGAGTTCGTAAAGCGGCGGCATCTGTCCCGCGGCCGCCCCAGGAAATATGACCCAACCCCATCACCCACTCCACCCCACCTCTCCGCACAGTAAGCACTACCACTTTTTAGAATTCTGCTGGCTGGCTGGCGCGACGTTCTGACCTTACCGCGGTATTCTCTTGTAACGCGGCGACCGGGACGTTTTCGCTTGGTCGTTGCCTAAATAAACGAACCACTAAACGCCCCTCTCGAACCTGCTGCCTTTGTCGTTCAGATCGCGCGAATCGAATCGCCTTCTATTTCCTTTCATTTCGTTCATCGTACCAAAATAACGATAATTATTCTCTACTTTAACCGTGTTAAAAACACTTGTCACTCGTAGGAATACTGGATAAAATCGAAGAAGAAAGCGCGAATGTGAAATTTCGCCGAGTTACGTTGCGTGCTCGATGTCAAACGACTCGTCGTACTACTTGTTGTACGATTGTACTGGATCGCTTCGTTTAGAATTCTTCGCGATGGAATTTCGCGTTACGATTAATGAGGAAATGACTTCCAAGGCAGCAGGGAGTGGCTCTAAGCAGTTTATCCAATCCTCCAGGAAACGAATTCCGCATCATGCCTGCCTCGAATACCTCTTAGAATCCGTCTCCTTCATAAACCGGATAAGTAGTACCTGTTCAACCTTCCTTGATCTTCATCAGAGGTGCGCGATATATCATAGAAGAATGTATATTTCTTCTATATAACAACGTAATTTCTTGGTTAATTTAGCCTGGATGAAAAAGAGAAGGGAATGTCGGTAGAATCCAATGTAAGCGTAAGGGAACAGGGAATTTCGTCCAATTAAAATTTGCAGCTCCAGCTTGTTAACGGTTAAATCTGCGCACCTCTGCTTGTGACGTCCAAAACAGCCCCCTCATATAGTACATTCCCGTATACGTCTCACTAGTACCGTAGCCCGAGGCTCTAGCACACCCGAGAGAGCTTAAATCCTGGACGATCCTGCAGGAGCCCAGCCACAGGACGATTGGTCCGTGCTGCAGGATCTCTGATGTGTTTAGTGGTTGCTCGCATGGATAATCAAGGATCCTAATATTCGTTCCCATAAGAATTTAAAAAAAANAAAAAAAAAACAAAAAGAAAAATATGTGAGAAAAAATACTGGAAAAAAAAAATTCCCCGTAAGACTATCCTTACCACTGAAAAAAGAAAACACTGCGCTTATAATTGTATGGTGCTTATGTAGTGGCGTTTGCAGTGTCTTGGGAGAATGTGGAAGTGTTTGCGTGGACAAACGTTTCGTTACCCTTCATTTTCGGATTTTTCTTCTCTGTTTTGCTGTACAAGCTGGTTTTTTTTTTTTAATGCGACATCGCCTTTTTCCTTTTTTTATTTTTTTTTTATTTTTTTTTTTTTCCCTTGTGTTTCGTTCAATCGCAACAATCAGATGCGTGGACGAAACGTTTGTCGTGTCGTTTTCTTTTCTTTCTTTTTCATTTTCAGTTTCAGTTTCGCTATTTTGAAAGAAGCAGAGGCTACGTAGCGTAGTAATAGAAAGAGCAAATAAGTTGACGATATTTCGTAAAAGGAAGGTGAAGTTTTTGCGCAATTTTCTTTATTTTCTTTTTTTTTTTTTCTTCCCCCTCTCTTCTTTTAGTTAGCGTTTAACGAGAGAAGGCGTTGTTGAAGTATGTGTTTAATTATTTTTTACTGCCCCTTCTCCCTTTCTCTTTCTCTCTGTTACAGCGTTGAACGTTTTCTATATATATTTCTGTTTCTGCCTTTTAGTACGCTTTTTCAACGTGAGAATGGTTTTCGGTGTGACTGATAATGTGTGTCAGGGCTACTCGCGCATGTGTAAATTGTGTAAATTAAGCGTCACAAACTGCAAAATAAAATATCTCGGATGATACGGAATTCTCCATTCATCGCTACGACCATTCTCTTCTAACTCAAGGTACTTCACCGTTAACGTACTAACTTTGCAACTTCCGGTAATTTTTCTCTACTTTTTTAATAATCATCTTTTTAAACGTTTTTAAAATTTTCTCTATTTCTCTCTTTTTATATACTCTTATTCTCTCACACCTTTCACTTTTCTCTCTACTACTACTCTTTCTCTATCCTTTTCTTCTCTCTCTCTCTCTCTCTCTCTCTCTCTCTATCTATCTATCTATCTATCTATCTATCACTTTCTCTATCTTTCGCTCTCTTTCCTCCATCTTTTTTCTCTTCTTCTCTTTACTAAGCGCTCTTAGTCACTTAATAAACGGCTCTAGGCATTGTTTTTATTCTTATATTTTTTTCTATTCGCATGCAAGTAATCGTCTCTTGCAATCGTCACACGTTCGTCGTGTTTCAATTATGGGATAATATTTGTCCTTCGAATCCATTTCGAATGCATTCCTTTGCATTACTTTACCGTTTGCAAGAGAGAATTCTATCTTTTTTCACTCGACTCTGTTTGTCGTTTGGAAAAAGTATTATATATTCGCTCGGTCGGCATTTCGATGCTTGAAACGTTCTTAAAGGATTTTGAGGATTTTGGAAACTATAAAAGGGAGGTAAGCACAGGTAAGCCTCAAAGCCGTTTATAAGTTACGACGTCGTTTCGTATGAGGGAAATTATTAAAAAATATATAATAAATTCTGAAACAAAGACGAAACGGGAGCGCTTTTTTTATTACATTTTTTTCTCTAAATTTTTTAACCTAACCTCGCTCAATCTCAACCAAGCCGATCGTTGGACGGAGGGTGAGGAGCGAAACTGGTAAATAGGTAAGAGTTTTCGAACTCTTTTTTTTTCTCTCCATTCTTTTTTATCACTTTTTTAATATATTTACATACGTGTATACATTTTTTCATATTATATACTTCTCTCTTTCTCTGTCTCTTTCTCTCTCTCACTTTCCATTTTCTCTATCTATCTATCTATCTATCTATCTATCTATCTTTCTATCTCTCTTTCTCTATCTATTATACCTTTACATATTGAAACTCGATCACACGTGCACATATTGTACACACAAGCTCTATCTTTACCCGCCCTCTCCGCCACCCAACCCTTGTGACCTGAAACCCTACTCGAAAAAAAAAAAATTTACTCCACCCATGTATACATTGACACAAAATTTAAAAAAAAAAAAAAAAAAAAAAAAAA